TTTTAACCTCACATATTCTCCCCCTTATCCTTACATCTTCTCTTTCTCATTTGTAAGCCTATTAGTAGGATTTAATTATTCGCCAATACAGAGATATTGGAATAATACATGATATTTACCTGATCACACAAAACTAGACCCCAAACAAGATTTTGTTCACAAGTGGAAGCACAATTATTTCATGGCATTCGATAAATTTGTTCAAGAGATAATTTGAAAAATTAATATACCAAGACATCACCTACTTTAAGTTTTGAGACGTTTATACATGAGATTGAGATTCACAAACTCAGAGATATTAGATGATGTTATCATCACGGTGAGTAAAATATGTGTTTCACCCTTTTTTCCTTCACCAAGGTTTGTCCCATTAGGTTTTCCTAATAAGCTTTTTAACGAGGCAACTTGCAATACATATTACTAGAAATATATACTCTTTCTTCTTCACTAGGGTTATTTTCCATTTGATTTTTTCCCAATAAGGTTTTGTTAAGGTACATTGTCTTAATGGACATCCAAAGGAGAGTGTTATAAATAATATTAACGTGATGTCCAAAACCCTAAAGAAATAATACCAAAATATGTAACTTTTATGGATTTGTGAGAATAAATCATGTAACTCTTATGGTTAATTTTGTGCAATTAGGAGGATTAAATTTTGTCATTTATTTCATTGCAACTCTTGATGATTGAGAGCCTATATAGAGAGTTCATGTAAAAAGCTTGTAATATACACACCACAATACAATAAGAAATTCTTTCTCTATTATCTCGAACTTTCTTCTACTTCTAATTATCTATTATTTTATAACATTTTTTCCTTTTTAAGGTAGACAATATTTTTTCTTAAATTTTAAATATTATCAGCAATAAAAAATTATATTTTTAATATAATATCTATTGATAATATCAAGATTCTGTGCATTTGCTTGGATAATAGGTACTCAAGAAAGATGCTTTCAGATATCTGGGATCTTTTTTGCAAAAAAGTGGAGAGATTAATGAGGATATAAATCATAGAACTAGAGCAGAGTGCATGAACGGCGCAGTGCATCTAAATTTTTGTGTGACTACAAAATTTCCCTTCAGCGATTTTTTTTTTTTTATAGAACAGCAATATGCCCTGCAAAATTATATTGAGCTGAATGGTTGGCCAGTACTTAAGCAACATGAACATAAATAAGAGTAGCGAAAATAAGATGTTAAGGTGGATGTGTGATTATACGAAAATGGATAAGATAAGAAATGAAGATATATAAAGAAAGGTGGGAGGAGTACCGATGGCGAAAAAGATGAAAGAACATAGATTGAGGTGGTTCAAGCACGCAAGTACACACACATATATACTTAAAGTTTATTTATATCATTTTTTTCTCAATCTTTCGATACCTTTATAGGGTTCATTTATTATGGACCCTAACTAGTTTGGGATAAATAAGTCATTGATACCGATGTTATATAAAATTTTCAAAATGCTTTGTGTTTCTTTCTTAAGTTTCAAAATAATATTATTTTAAATTCTAAGAAATAATTTTATCATAAATTATAAGAAATAACTATATCATATATAATACGAAAAACACTTTTTGCATATAAAAAATATAAAATATTTTTTATAAAAAAGTAAAAAAATTATCGTGCTTTTGCTTGATCCCCAAGCCACGCAGAAAAGTACTTCAGCTCATTGATCTGGTCCACAAATTGTGAAGTCACAATCACTTATTTTCCAACACTTTTCGAATATTTATTCAGAAGTTGACATCATCACCATTTTGCAAAAGAAAAATAGAAATTTCATTGACCTAACCGACGTTATAAGCTTTTATAAGTACTTTCGTTTTTTTTTTCTTTTATAAGATTTCATCATATGTAAATTTGTTTTTAAAAACTGTTTGATTTCTGTTTCAAAGGAAAAATGTAACTAAATGTGACTATGTAGAAGTAATTTTATGTAACTTTTACGTTTAATAGATAAAATCTAAATATAAATCCCTTTAATTTCAAATTCACTTTTACTTATAATTAATTTTATAAAATTTGAATAATGTAAAATCAAGTGACATAAACATAAGCTTTATCTACCTTATTAAATATATTTCAAAAGGCCGACTTGTTTGTTAAAGAATAAGCTGAAAATAAACGAGGTTATAGACATTATTTAATAAAACATTTAATCTATTTTCATCCTTATTGACATTACATCCTCATTAATATATATATATATTGTTTATTTCATGACAATAGCAGTATAGAACAGATGGTATTGACTTTATAATAAAAAATTTAAAAAGTAAATAAAATTATAAAAATCATAATAATAACAAAAAAGAGTTCCTTGGGGGCCAAGCATGTTTTGTATTTATCTATATAAATGAAAGCAGACTTCTAAATTGAAATTCATAAAAGGAAATGAAAGTAAAAAAATTAGATAATGACTTAAGAAAGTTCCTAGGCGTTTTAGTATCTACAAATTAAAATGGATGAAGGGAGGATTAAAAATTGAAAGTGGCTAATGAAAAAATAACCGACAATAATTAATCATTATAAAAGTTTATATGGGAAAAAAAACCACATTATTTATTATAAAAATCATTTAATTTAAAAATATTTTTAGTTAATTTTTCTAATTAGTCCAGCTTTTCCACACATAATTCATTACACCGCAAATGAGTATTTAATGTGAATGCAACCACCTTTCTTATACCTATTATAAGTTTTTCATTTCTTGGTTTTTGGGTTTGTTAGGTGTTTTTATGAAACATAAATTTTTTTATTTTATAAAGCATGGTATATTTATTATTTTTTCTTACATCCACTTGTAATTCATTTATTATTTTTAAATCAAAATTAAATTATTATTTCAAGTTATTTTATTATTACAAGGAATAATATTGAAGTATAATCTCCATTATATTATTCAGACCTTCAAATATGTTACAAAATTACCTAAATAAAAAGTAATAAAATTAAATCCTTTTAATTATAAAATAAATATAAATTTGAATAAAAATATTGTGTTTTGTACGTAACGAATATATTATATTAAGATATAATTAATAGATTATATATGTGCGTATATAAATGTATTTTGTACGTAATGAAAATTTATATACGCACACATGTCATAATAATAATAATAAGAATAATAATAATTTAACAATTTGTTTTCATAATATCTATATTTTTTCGAATTTTAAAAATAAAAATTTATTTTCATTCTTACATTAAATATTTATTATACAATTGATACTCAATTTATGCTGATATTTAAAAATCAAATTTATATTTAATTGTATTTTATAAAATTATTTGGATTCACGTTTATCATATTTGAATGAATTAATTTGAATTTATTTAATATATTTTAAGAAAATTATATTTATATATTAAAAAAATTTAATCATTTGTATTATAGTATTTTCATTTATTCTTATATTATTTAATTAATAAATACAAGTCAATCCCAAAGGCTTAGAGGTCTGGCCTTTTAAAATAGGCATGTGACGTAATTTCTAAATTTTTTTTTAATGAGTTCAAGCATATAGCCACTTGGTCATTTTACACCTCTACTTGCAAGTTAAAAGGGATGAATGAATGTTATCAAAAAAAAAAAAAAAAAAGGGGATGAATGAAGGATTAAAAATTAAAATGTTCATTGAGAAAACTAATAATTTATGATAATAAAACAAATTAATATAGAGAAAAACATTAACTATAATAACTATTATTTAATTACAAATTTTTGTTAGTTTATTTTTATAGGCACTGAAAGACATAATTTATTACGTGATGGAAGATTAGGTAATATCTATTCGGATTTTATTTAATAGTTAAGATATGAAATGTGTCCAGAGATTGTGTTCTTCTCATATATTTATTTTAATATAATTATGTTAGGGGAATGATATTGTAACAACCAAGTGATGTTACTACCAAGTTACTACCAATCAATTTCACCGTTAGATCGATTATGTTGATCTAACGGTTATATTTATTTCCATATTTGTATGGTCATGATTTCTCAAATTTAATACTTTATATTTATTTTCACCTTTGTGTGGTTATGATTTTTCATATTTAATGCTTTTACTTTAAATATAAGGAATCATAACCATACAAATATAGAAATAAATATAACTGTTGGATCAACATAATCGATCTAACGATGAGATTGATTGATAGTAACATGGTAGTAACACGACTTGATTGTTTCAATATCCTTCTCCATTATGTTATGTCTATTCTAATTTTTTTTATATTAACCTTAATTAACTTTTTGAGACTATTGCTCTGATATAAATAATTAAAAAAAAAAGATTCTAGCTGTCAATAATTAAAGTGATATTTTAAGTTTCCTGTTTTAAGAATTTCTTAAATCAAAATTGTAACGGTTAAAATATATAAATCAATGGTTGCGATGCTTGACATAATGACAATATAAATAACGTTAAAACAATACATGATATCAATTTAAGATACATGTGTACAATAGAACAGTTTTGTTGGACTAGTCCAAAACATAACGGTTTTCTGCATGATTCTATCTTTGATTTTTGATATTCCCAGGTTGTTTCCTTAAATTAACAAAGGGAAAAATGTGTATCATTTAAAAGGTTGTAAAGTTGTGTCATTTTAAGTGAGAGAAAGAGATAGATAAAGGATGAGAGAGAATGAACAAAAAAATATAAAGATGTGAGTCTCACCTCTGTGTGTGAGAGTGAAATGATATAAATTATGTCATTTAAAAGGACAAATACTTCTTCTGTTAAAAGTCAAGGAAATGAAAATTTTATTAAATTTAATGCAATGATATTAGAAAAATAAAAATGAAAAAAAGTGGAGAAGAAGAAGATCACGGCGTGATATTAGAACAAGAAAAATATCACACTGTAAAACAGGATTCTCTGATTCTTTGGCATGAGACTCAATTAATCCTCTTTAAAAAAAAAACTCTGCTCCTCTCTCTCTCTACCTTGTTGTCATAGAAAGAAGAAGAAGCTATGTTCCGTGAGCAAAAAATTGTAACCACCAAGGTTGTGCAACCAAGGTTTTTGGGTACTACACCTAAAGTGGTTAGAGTTTCATTGATGGATCACAATGCCACTGATTCTTCCAGTGATGATGAAGAAGAAAGGTTTATTCAGCGCCCAAAGGTGAAGAAATTAGTGAATGAGATCAGAATTCAAGGCTTTTCATTTCCCAAAATGCGGAACAATAGAAGACATGATGACGATGATGGTGTTGGATGTTCAGGTGTGAAACAGCAAGATAAGAGGACTAACCAAGATCATAGAAATATTCAAACCAATCAAAAGTTTCGTGGGGTTCGTCATAGGCCATGGGGAAGATTTTCTGCTGAGATAAGAGATCCTAATAGCCGAACTAGAGTGTGGTTGGGTACTTTTGACACTGCTGAAGAGGCTGCAATGGTTTATGATAGAGCTAATATTAAATTTAGAGGTGCTCATGCTATCACCAATATCATCAAACCTTCATCAAGGGAATCAATGTCCAAGAATGAAGAAGCATGTCATGACGAAGAAGCTATATCCGTTGATTGTGATGTTGGTGGTGATGATGGAATGATTCTTGCACATGAAGATGATGAAGATGATGATGATGACGACGACGACGACGATTCGGGTAAAGGGTTTAATGATTTATTTTCACCTTCCTCTGTTCTTGTGTTTAAGCCTATTGAACCTGTGACTGAAGGGATACCGGTAGAAGAATGGTCTAAAGAGTTAACAACAACTGAAGAACCTGATTCGGGTAAAGGGTTTAATGATTTATCTTCACCTTCCTCTGTTCTTGTGTTTAAGCCTATTGAACCTGTGACTGAAGGGATACCTGTAGAAGAATGGTCTAAAGAGTTAACAACAACCGAAGAACCTTGCTTTTACGATGACTTTACGTTTTTGGATTCATGTTATGAATCTCTTCCTCTTTTATTTTCTAATTACAATGGTGTTGATGCTTCTTTAGTTCTTGATGAGGATTTTAAATCCTGTGAATGGGATGTAGATAATTATTTCTAAGACCATTTGTTAATGTTAGGAGACATAGAATTGAGTTGTAGTCAATTGGGTTGGATTTCTTGTACGGCTTCTTATGTTCCTAAGTGAGTATTTTATCCTCCTTGAGATACTTTGGTACATGTGAATTTATGCATGTAGTTTCTTAAAAAAAAAAAAAAAATGTATCTTTGTGATCATGTAAATGGGATGTAGATAATTATTTCTAAGACCATTTGTTAGGAGACATAGAATTGAGTTGTAGTCAATTGGGTTGGATTTCTTTTGCGGCTACTATTCAAATGTAATTCTTCTTATCCTCTTTGAGATACTTTGGTACATGTGAATTTATGACTCTACTTTCTTCAAAAAAAGATGTATCCTTGTGAGAAGAAATTAGTAACTTGACCATTTTTAGTGTTCTTAGCTTCAAATTTTGATGGTTTGTTGGGATTTTTTTCTCAAGGCATTGACATTACATTAGGCACAGGGCTCAAAAAGCTGCTAACTATTTACTGAGTTTGAAATTGAGTCCATACTTGTTGTTCAATGGATAACAACCTTAGGCACTTCACAGTCACACATACTGCATCTTGAACTCTTGGCTACTCATACTTTTAGAGATGGGATTTTTTTATTTTTTATAATTTATAGTAGTAAGATCTTTTTTCTAAATCCAATATTTGTGTTATGTAGAAGTAAACAAGTAAAATTTTCATTGACTATTAAAATTTTCATTAGGCAAGAGAATGTTTTGGTATCATTATTAGCTAGGCTATGTTAAGGTCACTTTCTCAAGTACCTTAAAAATATTTCAATGGTTGGTGGGAGTTAGCAATGAAAAAGGAATCACCTTGGCCATTATGAATGTGATCCTTTTCTCAAAGAATTCCATGTGCTTGTTGAATCTAATGAAATGACATTGTGCTTGTTGAATCTACTATTGGAAGAGACGAAGAGTGGTATTTCTATGTTGGGTCAACATTCTTGCCAGAAAATGGATTGGGGTGCAAGATGTGCAGAGAGCAAGACTGTGAAAGAATGATATTCAAATAAGACCAATTGCATGCCTTTGTTCTAAAAGGTGGTGTTAAGTAGTGTCTAAACCAAATTGATAATGCAAGCATGTAATTGGTGCTTTTGTGAACACCTTTTGGTGCTTTTGTGAACACCTTTTGGTGCAGCCACAGATTTTGAACTTTTTCTCAGTATCTGTCCATGGGGTGAAATTCCAACAAAAAACCCTATCATTTAACTAAGGTTTCAATTAGTTAGGAAAGAGCTATTTTTTATTAAGATATAGAAATTCTTATTACCAAATATTTTTATTATCAATCTACCCTCAATCCATGGATTCAACTTTTCAGCAGAGATAATCTCTGAAAAAAAAAAAAAACTTTTGATGTATCACCTGTAGTGCAGTTATATTATATTGATAGTAAGTTAATGATAGGAACATTTGGTAGTAAGAATATCCTACTTCTTTTAAGCTTATAAAAGTATATGAATCTCATTAAAAGAGTTAAAATATAAAAAAATATTTAAAAATTGTAGAGATTTATAAAATAATTTTACCTATAAAATTAACAACTAAACAAATATTCGATTCCCGCTGAATGCATTCTTGGGAGGGGGTTGAACCTTTAGCCATCACTGTTCCTCCGCATTCCGGATTAGTCTCATAGTCGGCTCAAAGAGTCGAAGCTCGTGGGGATACCGGAGGGAGCCAACTCGTCTCAAAGAAATAATTAGGGTTGAGTAACTCAAAAAAAAAAAAAACAACTAAACAAATATCTAACAATTCACCTTCAATTCATATGATGCAAGTGTAGCAATTCCCTAAAAAAAAGTGACGGTTATGAGCAATGCTTTGAAATCCTGCGGTTACTTGAAACGGTGCCCATAGAGATTTGAAGAGGCATTGAACGAGAAGAGGAAATATTAATTTTCTATTTCCTTGGCACTAGACACTGGTTTATTAATCAAAACGTCCCTCTTTCCCCAAATGAAATATAAATAATTTACTAATTTTTTTATATTTTTAAAAATACATATCAATCTATTTTTATTTAACTAAAATTGATGAATGAGCCTCACCTTAAAGTCGAACTCTACATGTGATTTGATCGAATTGGCATTAAATTAATATTAAATTAAAATTGGTATAAATTGGGAATTATTATCAAATTTATTTAATTATATAATATTTAAAAAAAATAATAAATAATTTTCAATTGTGAAATTTATTACTAATATAGTAATATTGACATTATTTTCTCATTGGTTCAAAAAATTAAACCCACAAATAAAGAAAAAAGAATCAATATGGTAAAATTTTAAAATGCCTTTGAATTCAAAATATTTAAATTTATTGTTATTAATGACAATATGTTTAAATGTTTTTTATTTTTCTTTCCTTATTTTCCCATAATAGAATTGAACAAATTGAGTTTTTCAAAACCAGTAGTTATTAATAATAAATTTGATATTTTTGTATTTTGAGAGATTTCGAAATCCCTACGAGGCTACAAATTCAAAAATAATAATATAATTATAGATTATTTTCTTTCCTTATTTGCTAAAAAATTCGAGTGGATTGAAATTTTTTTGGCAAATATGAACAAATTAATCATTAATCAAAGTTTTATTATTAATAGTAAATTTTATATTTTTGAATTTGTAGGGGTATCAAAATATCATCTTATAAATGAGAATCATATTTCAAAATCTTTGTTAATTTAAAAAAAAAAAAATATGGCTGTTATTTTTTGTTTCCTTATTTAATTTGTATAAAAAGGAATGATGGATTCATTTTTTTTTTGGACAAATAGCGAAAATATCAATAATTAAATTTCCATAATTAATAATAAATTTGAAGTTTTGAAATTTTCAAAGATTAGAAAAGATTACGCTTAGATCTGTCAAAATGAGTCAGCCGGTCCCATTTGGCCCTAGCCTGTGTGGGTTAGGGCCAAAAAGCCTACAGGGCCAAATGAACTTCAATAATCAAGGTCCGCACAGGCCAAAAGCCTTGTTGGTTAGGGTCAGCTCGTAGGCCATTCAAAATTATAATTTCACAATTTTTTTATCATATTCAATACATTAAAAAATATTTTAACAAATGCATTTTTAACACTTTCTTAGATTATTTTATACAAATTATAAAAATTTTATAATTTAATTTTTTAGTAAAGGGAAAACTTAAAAAAAAAAACCCTATAAATTTTCTCAAAATCATTTACCGTCTTCCCCAAAAATTTTAATCATTTAACCTCCTACTTAGTGCCTGTTTGGATCCTCTCTTTTTTTAAGCTAGAAGCTACTTATAAGTATAAGCTAGGCCAAACAGGTTTTGAAAAAAGCTCTTATAATGAAAAGCTCTTTTTTTATAATGAAGAAAAAAGCTGAAAATTAAAAGCTCCTATGAGAAGCTTTTTTTTAAGCTCTTACCTGTTTTTCTTGAATTGTGTATTTTTTTTTAAAAATAAAGAGTTATAAAGATAGAGAAAGATAAATTTCTTGAAATATATGCTTTTAATTAACTTTTAAGCTAAAACTTTTATGTGATTACCAAACAGCTTTTAGCTTCTTTTTTTAAGCTCGTTTTTTTAGCTTTAGCTTTATAGCTTCTAACTTAAAAAGAAGAGGATCCAAATTTGATTTTCCATTCAAAATTTTGTTAAGAGTTAAATTTTTAAAAAAATATCAAAACTACCCTTAATAAAAAAAACAAAAAAAAAACAAAAAATGTAACGGCTCTTACGTATCTATTTGCACATAAAATTGGAGAATAAGACATTACCGGTGAATCTTTAAAAAGTGTTGGGCATTTTGAATCTTTTAGAGCTCCAAGTTCATGTGAATCTTTCCAAGTCCAAGTTATACTTTATTCTTGGAAACCATACGATGATTACCGAAAAGTTGTGCCTACTTAAGCATTTCTCAAGAATATGATGATAATGTCAAAAGTATAAAGTGGATGCTCAAAATTGAAAATTAAGTTAATAACCGTGATCACATCTTTCTTCATCTAAAAGCCTCATTCAGTTTAACAGTAAATGTATGTAATATATAAAGAATAGTGTTATAAGCATCACCCCAGCTAAAATGGCGCTTCTGCTCCTATTATGAAATAAATGAATGAATAACATGCTCAATGTATATTTATCAAAGAACTAGTTTGTAATTGGGGAGTACATATTTAGATTTTAGGATTTTAGTATCAGATGTTCAAAGGTGAAATGAAATAGAAGCGGCAAAAAAAAATTAAAATAATACTTTTTAATTAAATAATTACGCATTTATTGTAGTTTTGGGAATAATAACACATTTATTGCAGAATGTGATGCCTGATTGAGGCGTCTCACCCTAAGGGAAGACGCCCCAATGGCATCTCATGTGTGCCCTATATATACCCCTTTTTTTACCATTTCACTTCTCACTATTTCACCTCTCTCTAACCACGGTTTGTGCTTATGACCGAACGCGAAAATTTTCGTAGCGAAGCTCTGCCAACTTAGGTAAGTTCGTAATACCTGCTATATATACATTTAAATTACAGTGCTACCTTGCAAACATGTTAGGATTTATCGTATATTAGAGACTTCAAACATTAGGATAGTCACTTAGAAATTTTGTACCATGCTATGAATGTTGTAACGATTTAGTAATTTTTTTGTTACGTAGTTATGATTATTAATACATATTTATGTTGTTATTTTATGATAGTGATTTAGAAAATAGTGATAGTGACTTCGTAAATTTTGTATGATGTCATTAATCCGGGAGTGTACTGATAATTTTGTAGTCAGTTAGGTGTGATGATTAGTACATATTTATGAAGTTATTAGTGACTTAGGGTTAAGTATTATGTCAGTATGATTTAATTTGTGTCCGATGTTTTATTATTATTTAATTATAAATAAATGACTGTACTACGTATTAATAATATTTCATTAATTTCGATTCTAGTAAAAACGTAGGGTTTGTGCTTAATTTTTTTGATAATAAATTAGGGCATTGCT